AAATTTGCGAAAATGACTATGTTCAAGCACAAAAATAATTCAAGTGGTTTCGAAACAAAGCATTTAAAAAATGCAGGAATATGAAACAAATGTGCTTTGGACAAAATAAATAATACGCATTGTTTTAGCCATTTCACATTCACTGAAATATTTCGTTCCAGAATTCTGCAGAGCATGACATGATGTATGAATGTTAAGTAGATGGCAAAATCGTTATCGAGGCTAGTGAGGAATTCAAGTGCTAACTGCAACGAGATTCGGTAAATAGTACTGATAAGTGGCAACGAGGCAGTTTTTGCGGAAAGGAGAGATCCTGACTGTAGAAGTTAGAGAGAAAGAGATGAAGGTTTGAGGTGGTTTGTAGGAACTTGCTATCGGAATGTTGTAGCCGAGTTGGTGTGGATGTTGGGTGGAGCATTCGATTGTAAATAGGTGTCTATATCCCATCAATAAACCATTGTCAGTAACTATTGATTGGAGTTCCACTATTGGAAAATCGAATCTGTTTTTATCGATTAGAGGAAAACATCTCTAAGTGAGTGAACAAGTTTAATACTACTGCCAAATTTTCTAAAACTTTAATTTGGGAACAGTTTCTCCCGTAATCAGAACAACTTGAGTTTTTCTGTAATTTTTTAAGCTTACGGAATTGTAAACAACCGAAAAAAACTTTTCACGTTAAAGTTGAAAACTGATTGCCAAGAAAGTCAACTTCCAAATACACATCTTCATCATTTCCGGGAAAATGGTGTTCACTAGGATAATGGCAACTTTATGCGCATGAATCTTAATTCTATGCTTAAAACTGGTCATTAAATACTCATTAGAATACCACGCTACTCATACATTTGACACGTCCCATTCAAGTAAACTCATTAGAGAATTTGCCGTTTATGAATTGTATTTGACATAAAAACGCATAAATGACACAACAGGTGTTGCTGTCGTCGTCTAGCAATTAGGTGCTTGAAGTGTGAAAGGACATGATTTTGAGGATAAGAATTGGTTTAAACAATCCAGAGTGATAATCACTATAAAACATGAAGTCAGGCATTTTCTTACAGTTAGTCATTGGAAAATTGCACTTTAAATGTAAATTCAATTTGAAGGACGAGGAGGAGGAGGAGTGACTTTTGATTAAAAATTGTCCACTCTGTTGCTTGTTTCTTTGCAGTTAGGCTCTAGAATTAAAATATTTAGTTTCCTTTAAAGCAAAAAGGACTAATTGATTTCAAAATTCTTCTTGGTCGAAAAGCCGTAACTTTGCCTTTTTTCACTAGTTAGTCACCATTATAGCAAATTTTCACTATCACTAACTGCTTGCAATAACTCTGCAACGTGACTCCCTTTTCTCAAATTCCGCACCCTATTAGTCGCATTTATTTCCTAAACGAAGAGTAAAATGAATGAAATCCACAAATGTGTGCGCTGGGGGAGAGATGGGAGTTGAGAACATTAATTTTCATTAATGACATCGTTATTGGAGGTGCGTGTGTATGACTCTACGGCAATGAGGGTTCTGTTAACTGGTCTGAATAAGTAAACACTTTGCACGGAAAAAACGCTTTGAAGTAACCGCGTTGGCGATTTCAGATTTATCAACTGCTCTTAAGATGAACTGGTGTATGTCAGTTAGCAAGACTCGAAGATGAAACGGTGCTCACACGACGACTGTGTACCTGTTGATTGCATCAAATCACGCTGTCTAGAAGTCTGTTTGAGTTGCAATGACTCACCTCTGGGAGACATGATACTATAAATTGCAGGTTCCCTGTAAAACCGTCTGATTTTCACTACGATTTACAATTTGAAATCGAGTGACACTTTAATTTGTTCAGTTTTAGTTTTAAATGATGTAGAAATCATATAGGTTTACTAGATAAAAGTAAAAAGAATTGTTGGTTCAGCGTTCTATATCGCTTACAACTCACAAAGATTTACAACACCGAAATAATTAATATATCGAGTAAAAACTATACGCTAGTTAGCTCAAATCACAATTTTATATGCTGAAAATGCAATTAGATTACTACCTTTATATAGCCCCTTGGGCTAAGAAGTGTGATTAATTAAATTACTAGATTTGTAAGCAAATCGCAACCTTCAGCGCATTTTAAATATTCAACCTATTGTGTTAATAAAAATCAATAAAGTGAACTAACTCCAGATGCATATAATTGTAATGCCTATTTTACTCCACTTTCTTGATGACACAATACTCCGTCTTTTAGCTGACTGTCATTTTAATCTAGTCCAAATGATCTGGCACAGTTGTAATGAAACAATTGCTTCCCCTATTTCAAGCTTCGCATTCATAAAAATTGCTTTCATTTATTTTGAAAGAATTGGAGATTTGCCAAATTTCCCGCTTTGTATTAATGCCTTTGGAACTGCTATTTCTTTGCACGAAAGTTGACTTTACTTAAAAATGTGAAGAAAATATTATCATAACTTTTTTGATACAAAGTGGAGCGTAGAAAATGGATTAGAAATTCAATAAATTATTTACTTCGTACAAAACGATAAAGAAATTGTAGATAAAACCTTATAAACCCATTTGTAATAAGCTGAACGCATTTCAAGTACTCAAAAAGCTATTACAATATAAAGAGAACATGAAATTATAACATCAGCAAACTCTCTGAAAGTCTAAGATCAAAGTATACTTTTAAAATTTCTGGAGAAGAATATTTTCCCCATATTGCCAAAGTTTGATAAATGTATAAAATATTAATTTCCAAGGGACTGGAACCAATGAAGAATTGAGTTTGCATGAGAGAAATAAGGTAAGTTGAAAAGCTCATTTAATTTAGATATAATTAAAGATTCAATTGTTTAAACCTTATTGACAATGGGAAATTTTCTTTTTAATTAGAGCTTTAGGCTGAATTCAACCTTGAACCATTCGCGCTTATTACAACTTCTAAGTAATTTGCTTTAAGATACGGCATAAACGGTTACAAGTTTATCAATTTTATACGCATTTCAAGAAAAATAATTACAAAGAAATAGTTTAAGCCCTACTTCTCCGTTTACTTAATGTCCATTGGGTAAAATAGATATTTATTACTTACTTTATCCTAACCGGGACAGGCCGTGTGATATGTGACAGTGACGGTCTCATCGTCGTTGATTATTCTTTTCAACTATTAATAGGCAAACATTTGCAATTGCTTATTTTCAAGGCAATTTTAATCTTGTATTGCGATTACCTTTTGTTAATGACTATTTTTAGAATCGTTTCATATTCCATTACTTAGGGATTTGGATTATGATCAAATGTTCCAGTTTGTGAATCGTCTTGATACAGCAATTAGTGTTCTAATTTGCCTAACATCTGGTCCAAAAATGAATTAATGTTTGTTATCTATTCGTCATTTATGTTTTTTGCCCTATTTAATCAATCATGTTCAGTTAATTCTAGGAAGGTAAAGCGTTTCAGAACAGATGAACCCAGTAACGCTATCCATCTGCTGTATTGGGTCACGGTAAATACTATGCAATCTTCAACGAATCTCGTAGTCCTCTTTTCAATGGCCTTTCTAAGTTTACTGCCAGCCTTTTCCGTCTCCTTAATTATTTTCTAGATATATATTCGGTTCCCTATTGGTGACACCGATTTGAATCTCCAGGTGAGCACATGAAGAAAATTATGGAATCTAATTTCATTCCCCACCGTTGGGTGATTCACTTTTAGTTATCTAATAAATTTGCTTCAATAGACTGAGCAACTTTCGCTTATTATTTACATTGAATGTGCTTTTGCTATGATGGTGTAGGACTTTTACTTGTATCTGAGTTTAATTGGACCCGGAATATGTACATATCTACACAAATCTAAAGCTTTTATGGTGCTATGATTCTAAACTTCTAATTCCACTTACCCTTATTTAAAATATTAAGATAGCCGAACTCTTCTTTTTATTAAAGCTACCAAGAAACGGCCGTTTATAATGAACGAAGTATTTCGATTTTATTGCAACTTTACAATTTTTAACATAGAAATATTTCTTCACACTCAGTGGACATTTGCATATGGTCAAGAATCCTCAAGCACTTATCTTTGCTGCCTGTTAACTTTAACTTTTTGACGATAATGCCTTCAAGTAGCTAAAACGAAGATCACGGTCTACAAATATAACTGGCTCGAGGGTTCACCAGCTATTTAATTACTTAAGCAACCTCTACCTGGAAGCAGCCTTCAGCATCGTTTGCATTATGAACATGATCTTCCGTCAAATGTAGGTTTAATTTAATCTCGAATGTATTCTATTGGGATGCCTATTGCACAGAAAGACTATATTCTTCCACGTGGTATGTTCGTTCCGATGCTACTGTATTTAAAGAGAACGTGGAACCAGAACTGCTTGAATCGATAATATTTGGAGCCAGTTGAACCGTCGGCCTTCTGCCATCGTAGATATTTGGTACAATGATTGACTGGTGAAAATATTTTCTCGTTTACCTGAGAAACACCTCTACATCCCTCTGGCTGATCAGATCATATCATAACTATACATTAAATTACTTGCTTCTGACTTGATAGATGAATAGTGCCTACATTTCAACGCTGGTCCAAATCCCTACTTCAATGAAAATCTGTTCTAAGCTAACAGTTTTCTCCTTATATTCCAATCTTTGTAGCATCTTTTTTGCGCGGCACATTTGTGGTGTTCTGTTTAATTTGAATCCAGAAAAGTGCCTACAACTACTTCCATTCTGTCGTAATTAATTTCGAACTTGATATGCCTATGCTCAGGCATCAACTCTATTAATTTTCTAATTAAAATACATACTACTACATAATACGAGTAAATATTATTTTAGCCGCTGAAGAAGAGTACTTATCATTCATGGTGTCCCAAGTATGCAATTCGAGAACAGAATTGAAAAAAGTAATTAATTCCAAGTACACTGGTCTTATATAACTGACGGAAACAAAGTCACAAATAATATATACAAAACGCGCAATGCAAAATGTCTGTTAATTGCAGTTTCGATCAGGGTTTCGTTTTGGAGGGGGTACAGTTCAGTAATTCCATCACGGAGACAGGACCAGTTGCCTCATTCAAGCGCTTGAGGATATCCGGATCGTTTCGATTCCTATTAAGAAGAGGTCGACGGCAGGATGGCGTTTTAGGAACAGGACGCGCATAAGGAGTTGTACGACAAGGTGTTTTTGTCTTCGTCGGCTTTACCTATTTTGATACCAAAAAGAAAGTGAACACATTTTTGCTTTTGAGCGCAAACAGCAAGTTATCGGGAAAGACGAGAAAAACTCACATTTCCATTCTTAACACAACCACCAACGGGGCCGTTTTTAGAGGTATGGTTCGAAGAGGCAGGTGTGTTCAGTTTCTTAGCAGAAGTGGGCTCTGATAATAGGGTTTTGTCATTTTCCTTGTTATTAGCGGGCAGAAGGAGATCAACAAGGGAAACCTCTCCCTTTACACTTAGTATGCGAGCAGTTTCTGGAGTAAATTTTGGCCGACCTTTCCGCAATGGACCTTTAACGTTAGCCTCCTAAAATCGATTATTAAACATCAAAATACCGAATAGCTAGCTTAAAAAGCACAAGAAGAGAACCCCAATTTTCGTCAATGCCAACGCTAATAGATCACACAATCAGTGTAAAAAAATTAAAAGGATTAGACCTTCCGATATGCGAAAATGTTGTAAGGATAAAAACAGTAGATGAATATCTCAAGGACGCTATTCTATTTGGTTCAAGTTACTACTAGAGAGCCTAGCGGCAGGAGATTAGTAACATTCTAGATGATCTTCCATACGAAACTCCCGCATCTATTCGATTCTTGAACAGACTTCACCCAACGTGTCAATTACCGGGGTTTTCCGAAAAGCCGCCCAGGGCGGTTAAACGGAAAATTACATTTCATGAAACTATTACTGAAACCAAATAACCGCCCATGGACGATAATACATATGTAAAATATTCCACCTAAGAAGAGGAATATTGTGCATTCGAAACAACTCATCACGTATGGGAAGAGTTAAGCTTCTGTCCAAAATAACAGAGAAAAGTTGTAAGACCGTGGGCGCTTATTCGGAGGGGTGGGCTTTCGGAAAGCCCCCCCCCCCCTGACATCTAACTACCACCATATCACCGACTCAGAATAAGAGAGCAGAACGGAAAATTATTGTAAAAATCCAAATGGTTTGCACCTATCCCATAATTACTAATAGCATAGGAATAGAAATGGCAAATACGTTATAGCTGATATCAACTAACCCCACTAAATGGAGAAACAGACCAACTCAGGATGCAAGTTGGTAAAGCAAACCACTTCTTATTGCCTACCTGTACCTACTATGTATAACAAGTAATTCAAAAAAAGGTTCTTCCGGTTTCGAAGTCTCACTCGTAAGTGTGAAAGCGCGCAACAATGAAAACAAAACAAAACGAAGCGAACTTGATACCCAGGGCTAGGTAACAGCATGGTTGATGATCTTTGCTAAAAGAGATCTATCATCAGAGGAAAAATATATTTGCGTTTTTTTAATTGGGGGGTAAATTTAGGGGGAACAAATTGGTAGCATTAGTTGCATAAAAAAATCCACTTACCATTTTGAATCGCGAAGTAGTTGACGCACTCTCACTCTTCACGGATGTAGGAGATCCACGTTGACTGGCACTTGGTGTATCTTTTTTCTTATACCACAGATCCAAAATACTCTGATTAATCGATTTCTAAGGAAACAAAAAACAAAAGAACGTGTATATTTTAAGTTAAAGTAAATGCGAGAAATTGAGCAGCATACATTCTATCACAAAGAGAGGGAGAGAGAGAGTAGGTGTAAAAGATTGCGAAAAGCGAGCTATCAGCAATGTTAATAGACACATGTTTGATCCTGAGTATCAATACTAGCAACCCATAAACAGACGCCCACAAAGCTGAACTACACGCAGACGCTACCCCTAGTCACACGAACATTGATAGCTCTACACAACTCACCTCCTCATCCTCTTAGTAAACGCAAATGCTATCTTTGACATGACATTTGGATCAGACTAAATATAGCTTAAAGTGCAGAGACTTAGAAAAATTTAAGGATAATCTTTATTAAACGTACCTGACTACTCGCGGAAGAGGCGATACTCGATTTCCTCTGGCGAGGTACTTTGAATTCTTCAGAGGATTTCGAAACTCTCCTTTGTATGGCAGATCTGATTCCATTTTGAAGTCGGTCCACAGAGGAAGCAGTACCTTTTTCCTTTCCAAACTAAAAAAACAAAATTCCAAATTATAACATAGGACCATGAGATTGTAGAAAAAGGATGTAAAAGGAAATCGAGATTACCATTCTTGTAACAGGGCGTTTATAAGCAGTAGGCGCCATTTCACTCTTCACAGAACTAGGGGATCCGCATCGACTGGTGCTTGAGGTATCCTTTTTCTTATACCACAGATCAAAAATACTCTGTTCAGATGATTTCTGTCAAAAAAAAATAACAAAAGAGCGTGCATATTTTAAGATAAAATAAAATGCTAAATGCAAGAAATCGTTCGAAATGTTATCGTGAATTAACTTGAAGCCAGTCATGTAGATCTAACGATGGAAGTAACACAATCGATTCAATGGGAAACTGTCAATTTTGAACATATGTCGACATCGTTAGTCATCAAAAGCACTTGAAATGGTCTACCAAAGTAATAATTAAAAGGAGTGGAAGTTGAATTCAATATTCGCTCTTGAAAACCGATATCTAGTATAGTTACGATCTATTCACCACCTTCAAAAAGCTTCAGATTTCACTCGCTTCTATACTCTTAATACATTTTAAAGGTAAACATAAAGCTCGAACTGTAAACACTTAGGGCAGTAAGAAAGGGAGTAAATGTGCACTCACCTGACTACTTGCGGCCGATTTCTGAGATTGGGGTATTTTGAATTCTTCGAATGATTTCGAAATTCTCCGTTGCATTGCACATTTGGTGTCAGTGCGTGGCCGTTCTGCTGAAGAAGAGGTTATCTTTTTCTTCCCAAACTATAAAATCAAATGTGTTAGTCAATAATCTGAGACAATGAGTTTAAATGGCATTTAAAATACCACCACAACACACCATTTTTCCAAGTGAAGGTCGATTCTTAACAGGAATAGACGTCGTTTCATTTTTCAAAGAAGCAGAAGATTCGACATTCTGGCTAGCGGTTGATGAGGCGTCGCCTTTATTTCCTTTCCATAGGGCGAGAATTTTCGGATCAACTTTGGTTTTATCTAATTTTGGTATGGGGGTCTGTAAAAGAGAGTATGAAATTAACACAATAGATGATATCGTAACACAGTGCTAACACAGCCATTCTGAAATCTGCGTACAATCAGCTTTTCAATAACAATGTGCCAAAATATGAGGGAATAAATTAACTATTAGTCTAACAAAAAATAAAAATTTTCGTTACCTGCAAACCTAAACGACTGATATATGCAATCCAAAAGCTCATGACAATTTCGTTAATATAAAATGGGACCAACTAATTAATCAACCCTAATAACAACACTTGTTTCAATAAAATGGCTCAAGAAAATGAGGAGTTTGGATGCAAGAACGGGATTAAAATTTTGCCATATCACACTTCCCCCCACCCCCCCCCTCCCCGCGCAGCATCAACGACGAAGAAGACAATGCGTTCTTCTACTTGATCCAAATAACATTTTATGCCACTGAGTACGTTGTAACTAATAAATTGGAAAGAAACGATGCAGAATAAGGTAGTAAGAAGCTTAGACATGAGATATACTAAATCACAATACCATGGTAATTTACCCAAGAATGACTACTACGGAGTTCCCTCAATCCTTCAAGTCTTAGTGGTTTTACTCTATCTTTCGTACACACAGTGACAATTCATTCTATATTGCCCTACTTATTATTAAAAAAAAACATTCAAACTACTGCTCTAGCAGAACAAAAGCAGCTGAACGCCCGCTAATACAAGCTAAAGCTACACGTTTCCTTCCATCATGGAAGTCATACTTGACTTGCGATTACTTTCAAACTATGGTCGAAAATAGACCACATGAGATAATTAATCAATGAGATTAAAAACATCACCAATACAAATCTGATAGAGCGCTTTTTTACCGTAAGCATAGTAGATTCTGATTTTATTGGCGATGCATGACACGGAGTATCGGTTGGATCCAATCTTAACCTACTGGACCTTGATCTCGACCTTTTAAAACCCCATATGGGCAGTGGTATGCTGCGAGGCATTTCTAGTGAAGAAGCTTCCTTCTCCATCTGGAAAGCACATCAACTTATAAGGGAGCGGGCAAAAGAAAGTACTTTAATTGGCAGCTAATAGGTACTTTAGACTTACATCAGGTCTATTGGTAGTAGTAATTGAGACAGTCGGTTTAGCAGGAGACCCTGATGGCTAATTGGATTAAAAAGGAGTTAGATATGAAAATTTAAATAACAGGTAAAAATTAAGTATCTACTTGCCTTAGAGAAGTGTTTTTGAGATCTACGAACCAATTGAACATAGGTAATCGGGGGCTGGCCGTAGATTTTAAATTTGTTGCTTCTTCGAGAGGCCAACGCGAGTAACTTCTCCAGATCTGGAAGGATCTTTTCACGTAGAGAGGTTGCTTCTTTCTCCAATCTCTCAGTTCCTTTGCCTTGGTTAATCAGATCCTAACAAACATCCAAAATTAGAGATAAGCCATTGCAAAGATGAGATATGATCACGCATTCTCTACTTATTAAATACAATAGATACAAATTCAACAACTTCACATAGAACCGCGACAACCCATTCTAAAAACGAATAAATGAAATTAGAGATTTACCATCTAGAACTGGGTTGGGCATTATTTTGCCATCTACCTGGTAACTTTATTAAAACTAAATTAAGGGACACCTTTGAGAAGAATGTATATACCCTTAACTCAACTTTAGTTGCTCACCCTAGCATGATTCAAAACTGCAACTCCTATAATTATAGCTAAGTGCAAAGTTGAGTGTGAATTGAAGTAAACACATGACAATTTTGGTGATACCGGAGGAGTGAGGATTTTTTTAATAAAAATAAAAAACTACAGAATACCTAAATACCTACGAAGAGTGAGTTCAACACTAAACTAAAAAGTCTATAGACATCGTGGAAATGAATATGTCCGATAATAATAGGGATGAATAATTAAAACCGTGTTTCAAGCAAGCAGCGTATAACTCAAAGCACACTGACCTCAACATTGCGTCTTAGTGGACTTAGCTACTAGACCGCTTCAAAGGCAAGTACCATGAGTGCAGTAATTTTCTAATTAAGCTAAGCAATACCATTTTAGGCCAATATGCTACTTAGAACAAATTTTAACAAATTAAATACTAAACAATATTTTGTCTTAGGCCAAATCGTCTAAACTTTTATTGCCTTAAGTTCAGCTAGAAGACAAAGGAAAAACTAAACAACTTGTTGATTTTATTATTTTCGAGCCTTTACCTTAATGCGTCTAAGATTTTATTACACCACACAATAGGAATAAGGTCATAACCAAGTGCTAAAATTCGATAAACTCCTAACTGACCCTAAAAAACAGCAGTGACCTCAATAAATAAACAAGAAAATGATTGTAGAAATAAAATAGGTCAGGCCATATGGAAAATCATATCGAAAAGCACGGTTACTAATCTTTAGTAACCAAGGCGTATCTTAAATTTTTACACGATTATCAGAAAACAATAATTATCCAAATTAATAAAATATCGTACTGATAGCTTACTGGTGAAAATTTTTGATAAACAGGCAAAAAACATGACAAATTTTTAAATTGAACACAAAATTACACTATTTTTCTTAGCAAGAATTGGAAATGGCGATTATCTATTTATACCATTAGTAATAGTGAAAAATATCAACTGCCTTCATAGTAAAGACAACTAATACTTACCTCAATTTCATTGAGTCGGGCAAAAGATGTACACCAGGAGTTGTAGGAAGAAATTGCATCAACAAATTGGGCATGATATTCCTTCCAGCGAACAATTTCGAGATTAATTTGCTCTAAGTAGGTGTTACTGATCTTGTCAGGAGGGCAATCCTTTGGGAAATTATCACGAATAGAAGAAACAACAAGGCAATCATCATAAAGTTTGTGCAATTCAGCCAGAGCTTCTCTAACGGACATAATCGAGGCATCTCCGCGAGCAGCTTCGCATTCCTAAAGCAAGATTATAAAGACAAATTTGAGAGATAGACATCCCTTTAAATCCAAAGCTTTTAAGCAACGACTGACATGTAATGACAAACAAAAAATAAACTTACGGAATGGTTAGTTTCCTTCCTGGAGTTAGAATTATCACATTTGGAATCGTCTCTGAGAGATAACCTTAGAAGTAGGTCATTTATTTCATCGTCCATGGAGTTTAAGAGTTCTGTAGAGGGGACAGTTTCAAATGTGAATTTCTTAGGAGATTCACCCAGCTTTGCGCATATGCGTTGATTTTCTGATGATAACGCTTTAAAGCGATCCATTCGATTTGAAATTGTCTCAGAAAGTCTCTCCCGGGTTTCAGACAAAAGTTTCTGGCGATTAAGCAAAGAGGTATCAGAGTCAGTTGGCTCAACTTTAATGCCCAAATCGCCACTTAGATTAATAACTTGAGCCTCCAACTTCTCCACGTCCATATGAAGAGCTGTGACCTTCTTTTCTTCTTCAGATATCAAAGATCGCAAGTGAGTATCCAGTTCATTCTTCAAAATGAAAATACGCTTTTCGATCTGTTTTTCATCGAAACCGATGCTACTCCAAATTTGAAGAATGTGTTCAATATTAGGTTTCACATTTTCCATGACAGAATCAATATATTTCGCATACTGAATATCGAGCATTTTACAGTAAGACGTCGCACTCTAATAGCTGCTCACGACTGACCACAAGACTAGAAAGAGAGTAATTGAATCTACCGCAGCAGTCGAATATTATTCATAGTGAATCGAATAAACACAAAGATAAAATATCATATAAGTAATAAAAACATTATTATTACATATTAAAATAAATTTTAATATTTATTTACTCAATAATTTATTAAATCTTTTATTATATAAATTGCAAATTTTGGAAATTCACTATTAATATTTAGTTAATGCTTTATCAAGAGATCTGCATGAACAAGACCTGGAAATCATTTTAATTATTTTTCAACAAAATCACCGTTCGGATGTTTAAAAGAAAACTATTAGCGAATGGTGTAAAAATTATTAAGCTTCATCTCTTTCAGACTTGAAGTCGTGTTTACTTTTTCACCATCGGAAAAAACCGTACAATTAAATAATAAAAAAAAACGTTAAATATCTTTTCCTTGTAAGGGGTGTGATAATGTTCACATCTATGCCTTGATGTTGTTGATTACATTTGGCAAAATTTATCATTTAAACCATTAAGTCATTAAATGAGAAATATTATATTACTGTATCGACTATTTATCTTAAATAATAACTGTGAGTAAGATTACACTGTAAAAGGCATTCCCAAATTAGCCAAAGTCCTGTGAGTTTTGAGACACACGACGTCTATTCTGAACCAATAATCTCAGCACATTCAGACAGACTTTAAGGTGTGGCCGTGTAACTTCATAAAAACGGATAAATCATAAGAAATGATGGTCATTTACCGACAATTCAGGCTATGATTATTTCCACGAGAAATCTTGCTTGATTGAATAAAAATACGAGTGGGTGAATTCAAGTTTCTTGCATTACTATTTTAAGATAAAACCCATACCACTTTAGCACCATTTTTCATGAACCCTTTACAGGCAGTTGGATGTTCTTAGATAAATTATATTTTCCGCAAATCAATTTTATACTTCCACATTAATCAACAGCCAGTTCGGTCTATTCAAGAAATGTATGCAATTAAATAACTTTTCAATTCAAAAAGTATCATAAGCGATTCTTATGCATTATTTTAAAGAAAACTATAATTCAAGCAGAATATTTCAAAGTTGTTGACGTATTTGACGAATGGCAATTAAGAGAATGAACTATTTGCAATGCATTGGCTACATTCGACCCTATTACCACAAGAACATTAATTTTAAATTAAAAGTATGACGTTCGTTTGTAGCTGGTATAAAAATCTCATTATAAGGAGGCCGTCAATTTTATTCGATTCGATTGGTGAAAGGCAGGAGTATTAATAAAGATAATATCCCCTTTAGTTGCAATCTGGAATATCTATTTATATCAAATGATAGGCGTCTTGAAAATTATCATTAGCCCTTTCGCTGACTTCGGGCTTCACAGAGGGGATGTGCGTCAAATGGAGAAAAAATCGAGAGGGGAACGAAAGAGTGATTTACAGATGTAAAAGAGACAGGCTGACACAAAGGTAGAGAAAAGGCAAGGTGAAATGAGATGAGTACTGCGGAAGTGGTAGAATTTGACATACAGTCGGGTCATGATAGTTTGAAGTTAGAAGTCAAATACCGATTGATAGACTTTTTTGTCGAATGAGTATACGTTGCCCAGAGTACACCACGTGGAGTTAAGTCTATCGCACACCCCTCAATCTGGAATAAAAGATTGAAGAGAAGAGATCAGAACTGACGTGGAGAACCCACAGCCAACCGCTAATCAATAGACCTCGCCTCGTTTATCAAATCTGCCATATTAACACAATACTTATGCTCCCTGGCCTTACACACACGCCATTCGCACACGTCCCGAAGGAATGTGTTCCCTGTGATACGTCTGTTACTTCTATAGCTTTGTTGTTCTAGGAGACTGTCCAAACATTGGAGAATTTGCTTTAAAGATTTCTGAACATAGTCAAGGCTTATTACTGTAGCAACAGCTACAGATTTTTACCAAAACTCAACCTTTGTAAGAGAGGAATTTATTGAAAAAGATCTTTTGACTTTTAAAGCACATTTTGGTTTATGAATATACTAAGGTAAACCAATGAACACCAATGAAAGAGGTTCCATTCGAAACCTAAATTACAATTCGTGTTTCACATCGACTTCTTTCCAACAACGGGAGCATACTCGGGCTAGGAACTTCCTGAAAGAGAGACAATGGAGTACAGTTAATTAATCTGATAAATTTAGGAACACATTTAAAGGGCTGTGAATGAATTTAAGTTTATGATTTGAATACTACAACAATTCTTAACACTGCTAAAGGATGATTTACTGTGCGTCTAAATAAAAGAAATCTATTGCAAAGGAATCTGTAACATTTCGCGTTTTGAACAAGATGGCCTTCCACTTAATTTCACGTTTACTTAGGGAGCTAGTAACATGTGGGAAAGTCGTTGCCCAACAACCAATCGCATGGGCGCACAGCCAATGTCCAATCAGAAGCCTTCAATTGTTCTATCGAATTCGCCACGTTGATTATGACTAACCTTACGGCATGTCCAATTTTAACATGTTAAACTTTCCAAATAAATGTGTTCCGAGAGATACGTCTGTTTCCCCTATAGCTGGGCCGTATTATAGCTAGTTCTAGGAGTCTGGCCAGATATAGGAATTTCAGCCACAAAGATTTCTGAGTCAGTCAAGGCTTTACTACCATAGCAAACTTCAACAGCGCCATTGCGAAATGAATAAAATATTCCAGAGTAATTTATTAATTGGGTTCATTGGAAAACGTGTGGGGTGCACAACGCTACTATGTCTGAATAAAGAAAAGTCATGCGCACTCAGACATACTCGAAGGTGCGGTGTGCTACTTTTCGCGTTGGTAGCAAGTGCGGTCGTGAGCACAGAGGCCTTTTAGCCAGTCGTCAAGCAATAGTTCCTATTTTGTCTAACAAGGGGTGTGTGATTGACTTACTTCCCCGTGTTGCAGCCTGGGCAACGTATACTCATACGGCAAAAAGTCTATAAACCGGCAGTCATCACCCCACTGCATGTCATATTCGACTACTTCCACAGTACTCGCCTCACCTTTTTTCTACCTTTTTGTCTATCTCTTTAACACATTTGAAACACTCTTCTGCTCCTTCCCCCCCCCTCTCGACTTTTTTCACTTTGATGTTCCTTCCCCTCTGTGAAGCCTGAAGTCAGCTAAAGGGCTATCAGAACGCCTGCCATCTGATATAAATAAATATTGTCTAACAAACCCACCATTGCATTTCAATGACTAAGCTCTG